GAGTTAGGGCTTCAAGGGTGTCCATCTCCTAGACATATATTTTATTTTTAAGAGACCCTTTGATTAAGGTATTCCTTTTCTCCTACAATACTTCAACCTTGTTAGTAATTCCTTCATAAGAATTTTTATTTTCTATAGGAAATAATACAATAGACCCATCATATTTACAGCTAACTGTGTTTTCTGGTGATGGCAGTAAGCGGGGGAGATGAATTGAGGAGGTTGCTAATCTTGGAGAGGTAATAAAATCATGAAATAGAAATTTTTAAAAAGTTAAAAACACCCTATGAAAGTAAATCATTATTAGTGAAATGAACCATATTAAAATGCATACGTAAGCAAAACATCAGAGAGGAAAAATATCATTTTAATTCAGAAAAGCATTTTTATAAAGAGCAAACTTTAAAATAATTAGAATAGGTTGATTTTTATTTGGAGCAATCATGAAATGCATTAGGGAATCAGCAAAGCGTCAAAATAGAAACAGTGGTGAAGCTGCTTTGTGGGTAATACACGAGCTTCCTGATCCCTTCTTGGCCCTGCTCACCTGTGAAGAGCTACTGTTTTACGCTAATGTGTGGCCCCACTTGGTGTGGAAGAACAGACCTCCCCCATAAACTGGCTTCCTGCTCCTCCAGCCACCCGTAGGACCAAGCCTTGTTCTTACTCATTACTTCCTTCATGGGGCCTCAGTCTGCCCCCTCCAAAGGCCTTTGCTCTACAGACAGGGTGGGGAGTGTGAGGGAAACACAGAGCCTTAGCATCTCTATGTTGTTCAGGTAACATGTACTGTTGAGCTCCACTGTGTGCTTGGGAATGTGCTGGGTACAGGATCAGTGGCGATACTTGGGACCAATGTGGTCCATCCCTTGCCCACATTGATCTGGGGAATGAGGCAAGCAGTCAGAATCTGGTGTGGTAAGTGCTGTGACAGGACACAAATGAGGCGCAGTTGGAGGGGCAGAAAAGGTTGCGCAGAGGGACTGGTCTCTTGACTGTCACACTTGAAACATGAGTAGGAGTCAGTTGTGCCAAGAGGAAGGAAAGTGTGTTTCCACGAGAAAGACAAGCACGTGCAAAGTCCCAGGGGTGGGAAGGAGCGTGCTGTGTTTCAACAGAAAGACACAGCTAGAACTTGGATGTGACTTAGAGAATGGGGAGAGAAGGCAAGAAAAGGCTTTAAGAAGAACTTTGCGAACTGTGTTAAGGCATTTAGATTTTATTTTTAGAAACTGGAGTAGCCTCACGATATTAAGGCAGGATAGTGGCATGATGGTGTATGGTTTCAGGAAAATTACTCTGGCCACACGGTGGGGAATGATTGACAGGGAAAGGCTGGAGGCAGAGAGTCCTGCAGTGGACTATGGCAGTAATCTAGGGGGAAGGTGGTATGGACTGCAGAGATGACAGGGAACGCAAGGCAACAATGGTTTTGTTTTGAGAAAGAATTAAAAAAATAATTGATTTGATCTGTGTCTGTGTGTGTGTGTGTGTGTGTGTGTGTGTGGTGCAGGGTAGAGAGGAGGGGTCGAGTGAGGAAGAGGGGGAATCTAGAGTAATGCCTACGTTTCAGGCTTTATGGTGTGGTGGAGGGTAGGAACAGATTGGTGATGAAGGAAGAGTCAGTTCTGTTTGGGACTCACCCATCTTGGAGAGTCTATGACAGTCAAGTCTTAATGGATGGGGCAGGTGGACATGCAAGTCCCAAGCTCAGGAAAGAGATTAGGTCTGAGGTGACTGCCAGGAAATACTGAAGGAAAAGTGTGACAGTAGCAAAGAGCCACAATATTAGATTTCTCCGAGGCTATTGTTTGGCCTGTCTTTATGTTCCTTTTGAATCTCTGAATATGGGTCATTGTTTATTTTTATAACTAACAAATGTAGACTTTCTGTGTGATGATAACAAAGCAAAAACAGCTGCTACTGGAGGGAAAAATGAGAAAGAAAAAGAAAAAGGCAAGAGAAAAGAACCTCAGAGAAGCTGGGGGAAAACTTGGTGAATCCTGGTCTTGCTGCAGCAGCTGGGGTTGGCCTGGGGGTTCCTGCTCACAGGAGTCTTCCCTCCCCACTCCCTGTCCCTCTGGTTGTTTCATTTGCTGCCTTTCCCCTCCACTTACTCCTAGTCAAACCCTAGATTCCCCCAAAGGCTTTTATTTTCATTTTTTGGTGGACAAGAAAATAGCGATGAGTATTTTTCCAAACCTTCACCTGAACATCACATCTTGCTTCATCCAGACCTGCACAGAAGGAACTTTTGGGCCAATCTGGTCACAGGTACACACAGTTCTTCTGTCTCTTCAGTAAAAAATAAGCAAACAAACAAACAAGCAAAAACCCACATCGTGTGTTTCAATAATGTAATTGGTGTGAGTTGTTTTTAAAAATTAATTCTACTTCAATAGGATTTCTTCATGTGCTGTTTTTACAAGACCAAACAACAAAATTGAAAAAGGAATTTCTTCTTAAGCAACTTAATTTCTTCTTAAGCAACTTATCAAGCAACTTAATTGCTTTGATAATATGTATTGGCCAAATTATGCTTATTAAGGAAAAGAAAAAATCTACTTTGTTGTTTTTCTTCTTCTGATGGAAGTTGAAGACTTACGAATAGTTGTTTATAGTATTTGGTTAACAAGAATTTGTTTAAATTGTATAGTTCAAATATGTACTCATTAAATTTTTCTTTTTGCCACTTTATCAATCCTAACTTTGCCATAAAGGTTTGCAATATGAACATGATTCTGTTGTATATCTCTTTTCATTTTCGTTAAGAGATGAATTCAGTTGTAGAAATCTATTGTATTTTATGCATTAAACATGTTAGTTCAGGAATTTCACTTGGTTGTATAAAGATACACATCTACCACGGATGGCCAATCCAAACATAAGACTCAGCCAATTGGCCTCTGACCCAGTTTGGTTCTCCCATCTTCTTTTGGCTTGCAAAATAACTGACTTTGGAGAGAAAGGGAGTCAAAGGAATATTTGGTTTGAATGGTTATTGACCAATTTCTTCTGAGACTTAGTATATACTCATTTTAAAATATATCAACAAATATTGCATAAACACCATAGAAGACCAAACACTAAAAGTTTCTTTAAAGTATCAGAAGAATACACCTTTTGTTTAGAGTAGGCATCTGCCCAGATAAATTTTATTTCTGTTCTATTACTTCTTCTGTTTGTCCCAATTAATAAGGGCAAATCTAAAAATAATAACTATTTGAGTCAGTGTGTGGTCTTTTACTAAAGTTACAGGTTTATAACTCTGCTGACTAATTTGCTGGTTTCTATTAGGCAATAGAAGAGTACAGATATTAATTTGATCTGAAGCCTATTTATATAGTGACTTTTATAATGTATATCTAAAGATGGAAAACCAAGCTTTATGGGACCAGCATTTCTTGTCAGGTCCCCACCCCACCCTATTCTAATTGGGACTGACCCTTAAGTTGAATAAAGAACAAAGAGTTCTATAGTTAAAACATTTCGCTACAGGTTGCATCTTGCCCTTAGTAAATGGGAAAATAGAGACTTAAGCAGAGAATCTCAATTAGAGGGTGAAATATATATTCAATTTTTTTTGAGGGAGAGAATGAGAGCCGTGTTTTAAAATAGTATGTATCATTCCCTTGGTCTAAAATTCAGGACATTTCCCCAAGATGTGTATGAATTTAGACTTATATGAACAGACCTCTTTATAAAAACGTGCCAATATTTATTAATCTGTGAAGTTTAATATTCTGCACATTATAAATCAGACTTTTTTAAGGAGTGAAGATGACTACTAAATCTTAGAGCAGAAACTTCCTGGGGGTAGTTGGATGTGTGTGCCTGGAGCTCAGAGAAGAGGTTTGGGCTGGGAGTATAAATTTGTACGTGTTCTGCATTTGGTGATATGGAAGACATAACTGGGAGTAGATTCTCTTATAGGAGAATATGGGGTAGTATGAGAAGAGAAGGGCCTAAGATTGAGCCCCAAGCAACTCTGGCTTAATGTTGGATGCAGGAAATTGAATCTGCGAACAATACTGAGAAGCCACAACCTGAGAGGCAGAAGAAACACCAGAAGTTTTGTGTTCTGGAAGCCAAAGGAAAAGGCTGTTTCAAGGGGAAGGGAGGAGTCAATGTTGTCAGCAGCTTCTGCTTCTAATAGCTCGAGTATGATGTGGACTGAAAAATATCTGTTGGGTCTAGCAACAGGAGTCGTTGGTGATCTTAGGGAAGCTGCTTTTGTAGGCAACTAAGGTGGAAAACAGATTGGTGTGGGTCGAGGCATGCAGGAGAGGTGAAAAAAAGCTCTCAATTATTCTAATTCCTAGAACGATTTTGTGTGGTGGGTGCCATTATTTTCTGTAGGCTAGAGAGGAGGAAAGGGAGACCTAGAGACACTAAGTAGCTTGCTCAGTGTCCTCTCGCTAGTCAATGATGAACTAACTTACTAACCTAAGGGTCGAACCTTGCGGCAGCCCAGCCAACCACCCTCGACTTGGCTTGAGTTTAGGTATTTTGTGTTGCATTTTAATACCTACCTAAAGATGCTTTAAATTGTATTTTTTAAAGGGCCACTTTGAAACTCTGTTCCTGAAAATTCTATTTCTAACAACTCTACCCTGACAGCAATTTTAGCGAGTGGCCTGGGTTAAAAAAACAAAAAGCAAAAAAACAAACAAACAAACAAAAAAAAACCCCCAAAGCCTTATCTCCTGAGAAGATATAATCTTGTGAGCTCATCTAAAACATTAAGCTGCAAAATATAGGCTGTGTGAACTGGAGGTGATTTGCCTAAAGAACTTCTGAAGCAATTGGCTGCTGTAGAAATGAAGTTTAAGAGAGGTTATGTTTACATTTCAAGGACAGGAAAAGCCAGGCAGGCAGAGGTAGCAACATAGTAAGGCCAAGCGCGAAATAGGAAAACATCCTCCAAACTGTTTGCCTGTAGATTCTGACTGGCTAAGTTTCCTGAAATAATATTAATTCTGTCCTCTTGCTTTTAATAGGACATAATGACTACATGTGTCCAGCTACCAACCAGTGCACCATTGATAAAAACAGGCGGAAGAGCTGCCAGGCCTGCCGGCTTCGCAAATGCTACGAAGTGGGGATGATGAAAGGTGGTAGGTGCACCTCCCACGGGGGGCCCCGGGGATGGCCTTGGCCGCTGTCCAGTGCTGGCTATTTCTGCTCTTGTAACAGCTGTGGGGATTTAGTGTTTTCTTTTCTAGTTCAATGTTTTTCCTATTCTTATTTTTCTTTTCAACAAAAGTATTTTCATAATATATTTTGTTTAAGAAAATGGAAGTAGCTGGAACTGTAAATTCTAACATGCCATTTTGTGTTTTAGACTTTCAATATAAATAATTATATTTTAAATCAAAGGTGTGTGGGAGGTGGTGGTGGAAGGAAACAAAGACAGCTCAGGGAGTTATTCTAGAAATATTTTTCAGTTACTGTTTATATTGCGATGGCTAGAAAATGATATCTGAGGATAAGCTTTCCCTAAATTGAGACCTGTAAATGTGAAAGCTAAATAGCTAATTTATAACCTTCCCATCTCTTACCATTTCTTGGGGAATTTGAATTTGAATCAAAAGGCAGTTTTCTCCTTTGGAAAGTGAGTCAACCAGACACTTTCTTAACCTCAGTGTCTGGCTTGGTGCTGGGACATTTAAATGAACACCAAGCACTAACAAATCCCAAAGCATAAGCAGGAGCTGCTGCCCTGGGCTTGTGTCATTGTGGCTGTGTGTGTGTGGTTTGCTGTCTTTTCATGTATCCAATATTCCAATTTTCTTATCCAGAAATCTCGAGTCCAGTTCTGGGGATGTTAGGAGCTCCATCAATGTGGTTGCCTGATTGAGCTTCTTATATTCTTGGGAATGTCATCTTGAGGGACATTGCTTCTAGTCTTGGATAGCCTTCAACACAGTGGGAGAGAAGAAAATAGGAAATGTGTAATTAAAACAAAGTCACAGATGCATTCAGTGTTTCAGGATGATATGGAGGGGAGGGAAGGGAAGACGGGAGTGGGGAAGAGCTTTCTGAAGGAGGTGAGGCTTGGGGTGAATTAAGGAGAACAAAGTTTCAGTGAAAAAGAATAGTGATTTTTCAAATAGAGGGCAGCTAACCTTTAACTCATTAATAGTTGGACAAAGGAGGAAGGAGAGGAAAGACCAGGGGTGGAGGTCATGATGAAGGCATGCTCGATTGTTACCAAGTCCCTCAGTTCCATGGTCACAAATCAGTCCTCCATGTTGAGATTTTGAATATACCATTTGGAATAAATTCTCTTGGTGAATAGATGAAATGTTGAATTTACACATTGTGTGAGCTGTGACTGTGACTATATGTCTTGAATATCTGAAAATGCAGCTTTAATTCAAAGGGTAATTAATTCCAAGATTTAACAGCTACATTCAGAAAATGACACTTTGAGTCATAAATGGATTAAATATTTAAGGAATTCATCTTTCTTTGTACTGCTGGAGAATTAGTTAGGCTTAATTAAACTCACAAAAAAGCTTCTTAAGGTAACTTGATAAGTGACAAGAATATAACAGCTACATGAGAAAAGCTTAATTTGAAACAGCGGAGTCCAAGTTTAATGTTTTTATTTGTCGATTATAGATAGGTTAAGCACAGGCTCTTACATTCTCTCTGAAAGCTGAAATAAGCAACCTGTGAATATGCCCAAAACATTATTTTTTTAAATTCAAAGGTACCCATACATTGACCGCACTAAACAAAAAAAATTCGTTTTTTTTTCCTAATTAATATCCAGATAAAGTCTGACTGCATAAATATAAATTATGCATACTCATTTTTAATCTAATAACAATTTTAATATGCAAAGACATGATAAAAGTCTCCCCACTATTTTCAAATAGGAATTTAGATAATTTGACTGCACACAGCAGTCTGTGCATGCATATACTTGTACATATATTTATGACTGTAAAATAGATATCCGTATTAGTTTCTAGGGCTACCATGATGAAATACCACAGACTGGGTGGCTTCACTTGATCTTAGCCAAAAGGCCAAGAAGCGATAGACTAGGTGGGTTAAACAACAGAAATTAATTTTCTTACAGTTCTAGAGGCTAGAAGTCCAAGATCAGGGTGCTGGAAAATTCGGTTTCTGGTGAGGCCTCTTTTTCAGGTTTGTAGATAGCTGCTTTCTCATTGTGTCCTCATAGATAGAACCTTTCATCTGTGTCTCTTCCTCTTCTTATAAATACATCAGTTCTATTGGATTAGAGCCCTGCCCTTATGACCTCATTTAACCTTAATTATCTCCATAAAGGCCCTGTATTTAAATATAGTCATATTGGGGGTTAGGGCTTCAACATATGAATTTTGTGGGGACATGATTCAGTTCATAACAGGCTGCCATAACAAAATAACACAGACTAGGTGGCTTAAATAACAGAATATTAATTTTCTCACAGTCTGGAAGCTGGAAGTCTGAGATCAAGGTGTTGGCAGGTTTGGTGTCTCCCAAGGCCTCTCTCCTTGGCTTGCAGATGGCCTTTTCTCTGTGCATGCACATCCCTGGTGTCTCTCCCTCTTCTTAGAAGGACACCAGTCCTATTGGACTAGGGGTCCACTCTTATGACCTCATTTAATTTTAAAAATTACCTCTTTAAAGACCCTGTCTCCAACTACAGTTACATTTTGAGGTACTAGGGGTAAGGGTTTCAACATACGAATTTTGTGGGTACAGATTCAGTTTGTAACAATATCCCATAGAGATTACTCAGTGATTGTTCAGTATTTCTGTAAATATAATGAAAATTTGTCTTTCTGGCAGTTTATACATGCACACACACACACACACACACACACATAAGTTTTAAGTCAATCTTTAAATTCATAAAATATAGCCTGCAAGAACATCCCACTTTAATTAGAGTGCCTGCTGTAAAGCAATGTCATTTATTGTATTTTCCACGACATGGGATACCACATATAGCCTCAGGGCACTTTATATAACAACTCCTGAAAAATCCCTCTAAATAAAGACTTAATTTATAACTGGAAGTTCCAATTATAACTAACTATAAAATTTGTAGTTGTAAAGAACAGCTGTGACTGAATAAATTTTTACAACATTTTCCAACAGGTTTTACAACAATCCAGTTTCTTAACCAGGCTAGTTACCAATTGGGATATTGAATCTCTACATAGAAATAAAAAGTTTATCCTGGATAGAGCTGGAGCCCATTCTACTAAGTGAAGTATCACAAGAATGGAAAAACAAACACCACATGTACTCACCATCAAATTGGTATTAACTGATCAACACTTATGTGCACATATAGTAGTAACATTCATCGGGCGTCGGGGAGAGGGGAGGAAGGGATGGGTATACTCACACCTAAGGGGTACTGTGTGCACCCTCCGGGGGATGGACACCCTTGAAGCTCTGAGTCAGGCAGGGCAAAGGCAATATATATAACCTAAACATTTGTACCCCTATAATATGCTGAAATAAAAAAAATATAGATATTTAAAAAAAAAGTTTAGTTTCAGCTAGAAGAGAACCACATACCTACTCCCTACTCCTACTTTTTAGTAATGCTGAATAAATTTACTGAAGATCTATTCTAAAGATGCAAAAGAGTGCATGATTTATCTAAATGAAATAACAATTTTAATCTGTTATAATGCCTACTGCCCCTGAAAATTCCAACATCATCATTAGATTTGGTTCTGAACCGTGGTAGTTCAAAAAGATGTGCTTTAGAGCCGCAGACCAGTACTGGTCCATGGCCTGGCAGCAACTGGGCCAAACAGCAGGAGGTGAGCAGCAGGTGAGCAAGCGAAGCTTCCCCTGTATTTACAGCTGCTCCCCATCGCTTGCCTCACCACCGAGCACCGCCTCCTGACGGATCAGCAGCGGCGTTAGATTCTCATAGGAACATGGACCTTACTGTAAACTGCTCATGCAAGGGATCTAGGTTGCTTGCTTGAATCATCCCCAAACCATCACCCTCCAACCCCCCTGCTTCGTGGAAAAATTGTCTTCCATGAAACTGGTCCCTGGTGCCAAAAAGGCTGGGGACCACTGCTTCAGAGGATGTAGTTTTCCATCTTAATGCATGGTCTGTCTGCCTAGGTCGCTTTTTCTCTTCATCCACCTCCTTCTTCTACAACCTTACATTGAAGATTATATGTCTTTTCTTTAGGGAGGCCTTTCCTGTTCCTGCACAGTTCTGGAGGCTAGAAGTCCAAGATCAAGGTGCTGGAAAATTTGTGTTCTAGCTTTCCTAGCAAACAGCTTTTCTCTGAGCGCTCGTCACTGTTATTATTAGTTTGTTCAATGTCCCTTTCTCTATCGTCCATAAACTCCATGATGGCAGGGGCTCTCTCTGTCCCATTTACTGATCTCACACTAAACTAATCACAAGGTAGGTGTTCAAGAAATTTTTTTTGCATGGATTAATGAATCAATTCAATTCACTTAAATAGTCATTTGTTTAGGACTTCTTGAATGCGAGCTATTGTAGATCAAGCAATCATGAATAGTACCCTGGTCCCTTCCATCAGTGCCCTCGCAGGACAAAGAGAATGTTTGTATATGAAGCAGCAAATAAAAATCCAGAAGACAAGTTGAGACTGCCTGGGTTGGAAGATGGCTCAAATAATGAAAAATCAGAATGGAAGTCCAGAGCTTTAGCCAATCACTTCTGGGTTTAGTCCAACTTGGAACACTACTCACACCATCTGACTTCCAAGATATATGTTGTCACCCCAGAATTTGGCATTCTAGCTTAGTTTGGTGGAAAGGGGAAGAATTCAGAAGTGAAATCCTTGGTTCAAATACTGGTTCCTCCCCAGACTTGCTGAGCAACCCCATTAAAGTCACTTTTATGAGCTTCACTATTCGCAGATACAAAATGAAAATAAATAATTTCTACTTCACCAGTTTTTCGTGAAGCTCACACATCATAATATATGAAAATACTTTACAAATTTAAAATAACACACGACTGTTAGCCATTACATCTCTTTTCTGTCTTAAAAATAAATCCTGTCTTAATTAAAAAACTTCATCATATCTGAAAGCTTTTTTTTTAGTTGAATGAAAGAGAATGGCGATTTCATCACCT